CGCTTTGCTGGGTGCGTTGTGGAGGCCGCTGTTGACCGAAAGCGCGTTTTGGCGTGATACCAGCTGAATCGCACATAAAAACAGCGGGTTATTGGGGTTGTTTCTTCGGCAGTGTCACTGAATGCAAAATTGACCCTAGCAATAGTCTGTGAGGCGCATTGTAGCTGGTTTTGATGCAGGTAATCGTGTAGCTCAAGGCCAGAAATCTGTAAGGAAAAATATGCAACGGTACTCTGACAGAGCTTCTTGTCGCAAATGCTGTTTCATTGTCCCCCCGGGCCGTGCTGGAGCGGCACAGAGCAGCCGAGGAGTCTGTTGGTATGTTTTAGTGCTGCATGTCACACACTGGTTTCCTCCAGGGCCATGTCTGGCTCACCAGGGGCACTGCTGGCAGTGTATGGAAAATGGACTTCTGGTTAATGGACTTGGATTATTAAATGATTTTGATATCCTTAGAAGCGACTTATCCAAAGTCCCCCAGCAAAGCCAGGAATAGAGCGTGGGCATAACATTACGACCTGCAGCGCGATTCCCTGGTTCACGTGGTTTCAGTAGTAAAGTTGATCCATACATTCTATTACCTGTGTAGGTTTAGAACGTTCCTCTGCTGACTTCTCTGCCTGAAATATCACCTGTGGTGTCTGTCTCTCTCTGTGTCTCTCTCTCAATAGTTCGATAAGTAGATTTCTATAAATAAATGTACCACCTGCTTGTTTCAAAGAGTAGGGTGTGTGTTCTGCTTTACTGATGTGGAGCTTTTCTGAAATACAAGCCAGTGACTTTGAAAACTTCAAAGTCTGCTTTTTTTCTGATTGGAAGCAAATACAAAACAACCCAGTCTGAACTCCAGTTAAAAATGAGCTGCCGCTGAAGATGATGTGGAAGCGTGAAGCTGAGTTTTGAAAGTGCTGGGGGCTTCAGGCAGCTCCCAGGGGAGTTACTGCGAGCCCAGCCTGATGAGGTGAGTGGGGCTGGACTCACTAGTATTTCCATGGCTTCTCTCCAGAGTTTGTTGAAGCTCTGAAGAGGAGGAGTAACAAAAGCTAATCAGAGTTCTGACAGAAATGGTTTTCCCTTGGAATTTCCCCTGGAATTTCGCTGGCATTGATAGATCTGCAGAGGACATCCGGTGCAAACTCAGAGATAAACCTGTTTTGTCACATTTTTCTTACATATTCTAAGGTGCTAAACACATAACTTGGCTTTCAATATGCATCATGTAAGATACATGATGCATATTCAGCATACAGAGCCATACACGAGTCACTTCAGATTTCAAGAGTGAGATAGTTGTTATTCGTGACAGCACATACAGCAAGGATCAAAGGTACGGAAATACATCTATTGGATAATGTTATATATGGAGTGCTTTGAACATGTCTTGTGATTAATTTAAAGGATTAAGACATAAAGTAAATATTTTGCTAAGTGAATTCAGGATCCTCAAAGTTTTCCCCTTAAGAGAAAATTTTGAACAGCCTGAAAAATCAGATCCTGCAGGTGTAACTGTTCTTTAGAGTGACTGTGAAAGTAACATTGTTTGGCATTAGGCTTCTGTTGTGACTTCTGAACAAAGCTGGTAACCTTGTTGAAGTAGAAAGATTTTTTTTTTTTTCCCCTCTACTTGTGTAATCTGTAAGCTTGATCTGGATGAGAAAGTCAAATTATTTTATCTTCTGTCACATTCACTAGTGCCAAAACTAAATGGACTTGATAGATATGTATGACTTAATCGCTTTCTAGTTTGCTGATATCAGTGATAAACTTAAAGATTTTGTAACTAGTAAATCTTATCTTCTTATCCATAATTTTTAATTTTGATTGAAAAGACGACGACTGGTATTTTATATCTCCTAAATATTCCTCATGCTTGAATGAATTAATAAAATGAACCAAACTGAAATGAAAAGAAGAATCTCTTTGTCTGTGGAATTATGATTATCAGTTGCACAGATACAGGTTTTCAGCATTTATCCAGTGACTTCCTATAGTCATGCTAAAACTTTGAGCAGAGGAAGATTGACATCTCAGATGAGGGTTTTTTTAATTCATCTGATTTTAACATACAAACATTTAAGTTTGCCCATAGTGTGCTTTGTCATGATTTTAAATTTTAAGCTGTTTGTTTTGCGGAGAAAATAATTTAAGTTGTATTTTAAAATAATTTTAAATTGAAAAGCAATTTATTTTGAGGAAAAGATTCTTTGGGAATAGTTATACCCAGCCATCTATAGATTCACAGTTTTTCCTTAGTACTTTGCCTGTAATTCAAAACCAGATCCTGCAAATATTACCACTATGAGGATAATAAATAGAATAAAATAATCACATCAAGGAGAGGAAATATTTTAGTAGATCTTATGTATTAAAAAATCATAACATAAACTTCATAACTTCCTTATAGTTAATAATTTTTTAATCGGTTTTTTTTCAAACCTCCCTCTTCATCTACCCTCTTTCTGGAAACATTTTTACAACAGCGATGAGTTCTTGTAATATTTCAAATAAAGCCAAGCAATATTTATTTTCATTGTATTTAATAAGTTGGAGTGAGCAGCATAGAATTTTCGGATGCTATCTTAATGCAAAATTAATACAAATAATCATACAATGCTTTTTGTATTTATTTGAAATGGTAAGAGCCCTTTCCATGTGAAAAAAGGAAAGTGCTATTGTCATAAAATTGCCTGTCTAATCTGAAGATCCTTGCTCTCCCTGCCCCCCCGCCCCGATAGCAGTAACTGCCTCCCCCCAAACATTTAAGAGGTTAAATAACTCTTTGTACATAGACCTCATTTTACTTGCAAGTAATTTACTAAGATGATTTGCTGAATGTAATTGTTTTTAATGCATTTGCAGGTACAGAAGCAAAATGTTTATTTTACAATCAGTAGGTTATATTTCTTAATCACTATGGAAACACGGATGGATGGACCAGTCTATTTTTATCAAATTGGTAAGTTGCCTGTACCTTTATATTGTAAGAGGAGTAGTAGTACTAATTTTTCGCTAACACTCCTCCTTAACTAAGATACCATCATCTTACTATAGACCTATCCCTGGAATAATTCACAGAACTAAGAATCTAGTGCATACTCCATTCTATACATAAACCATGATTTTCCCATAAGAAAGAAATGCTTTGAAACAGCATACTGCATTCTGCCTCTCTAAATGTCCAGTGAACTCTTAGTTGGATGTTGTTGTTTTTCATTTCTTATTCTAATTTTTTTCAGGACTCCTTAGTTTCTGGATTAGCAGGCACAACAAACATAGTTTGTTGGCTGAGCTGTAGCTGTAGTGAGAAACTGTTTTGATAAGATCATTTAATTCTGTAAAAAGGATAAGATGGTAAAGAAGATTCCTCATTCAGTTTACAGACCATCTTTATTTCTTCAGTCTTAATTTTCCCAGTTATTTGGTCTAACATTTTTTTTCCTGTCTGTGTCTCTTATGTAAGAGTGTAACCTAAAAAATTTTGCAACTCTCCAGCTACCTTTGCTAAACATGTTTATTGAAACAAAGTTCTGAGTCAGTTTGAACTCCAGATGAACGGAATTTGATTTTGATAGGGGAGAGGCATTTAAAAATCACAAGTATAGACAGAATAGAAAAGCATTTATATCAGCAGACACATGTGAGGTGGCTGGCATAAAAGAGAATGGCAAAAGACTGTTTGCATCTCCTAATCTGAAGGGCTTGCTCCAAGGAAGTGTGTCATTACTAGAGTCTGTGCACTGCACTATCTGTTTCTATAATGGGAATAGCCTTAATGTGCTAAAGGCTGTGTGCCTGTTGGGAGAAGGGAGAATTCCTGCCCCAAATGATTACAAATCTGAGCTTGTGTTCAGGTAAAGAACAATAACTGTTAAAGTATTGCTCTGTTATTCATACCCACTGGATGTTTTTTCCAGATAGGTGATCTGTTACTATATGGCAATAAATCAGTTGTTCTACTTTTAACTGCACTTCTCTAAGGGGATGTTTATTATTCAGTAATAATGTAGAATAACAAGTGCAAAAGGAGGATGTATACGAGAGAGGATGCCTGTGTTTGAATGGCAAAATGAAGCTTGACAGAGATGAGTTTTCTGTCTTGTGGAAATATAAATTTGCTGCATGTGCAACTCAAGTGAGCTGCTTAATCTCTTTGCATCTAATTTCAGAAGGGATGCAGGGAGCATAGTTTCATATTTGCGAGACAGATGTCCGAAGAGCCAGATTTATAAGAGATACTTGGCTAAGTATCCATCCCAAATGATTTCAGCAAACTTAGGTGCCCAAGTATATTTGTGTGTGCCCGCTGCTAATTAAATGGCAATTTTTAAGGCACTTCTCTGCAGCCATAAAGATTCTGTGCAGATTTCTCTTTAATTAATTGAGTAGGAAATTTTTCCTTTCCTCTTCCAGTACTCTCTGCGAAAGTACACAAGGATCATAAAATAACTGCATTAATCCATTAGGAAATTCTCGCAGTGTGTCTGGGACAGGACAGTTCCCACTGACACACTACTATTCTGAATCCCCTCTACTTTACCAGGAATACCATGTATTCTGGTACTATGTTTCACATGTCAGATGACTTCCGGAGGTCCGTTCCAACCTTGACCATTCTGTGATAGTCCTGTCCTATCCCTTATTTGCAGATCTCCATAAAGATTGTTTTAATTTTTTGTGAGGTGTGTCCCAGATTTCTTTTCTTGTGTATTGGCTGAGGAGTGTTTTAGCCCAGGTCCCAGCGGTCCTCCAAATATCACTTGATATCACAAACTTGAGAGTTTGTGAACTCTGAGAGGCGTCCCACTCAGAGGGAGGCTCTGGGTGCAGCCCGCTGCGGTACAAGAGAGTTCAAAGGGTCTCGCTTGGGACCGCTGTTTATAGGTTTGCAAGATTATTGGCTTTAGTTATCAGTAAATTTCCATCCTGGCCACTATCCGGGATGGTCCGGGATAGTAATTATGGTATTGTTCCATGGTAACAATGGTATCATTTCACTTGAGCTATGACCTAGGTAGGGAATGCTTCAGGGCTGTCAGAGATGACAAATTATCTCCCGTTCTTGTTCCCTACCTTCATCAGGTAGCTGGTGTTCCTGGTACAATCAGTGTCGCTCCCCACCTTAGCCATGCAAGAGTGCCTGGTATGGTCAAGGGACGCTCAACTGCCCGACTCATTACACAATGGCTAAGGCCTAACAGGAGTTCCTGAGATTGTAGAGTGGCCCACGGGAAGGGGGGAAATGCACCACCACAGAAACAGAGCCTGAAATAGGGAGTTACAGGAGTTCACTGACTGAAGACAGTGAGTAATATACCAAAGCTGTTAAACTATAGCCTTGAGGACTCACCATATTTAGATGGGGAGATTAGAGTCCCCATCTGTGAAGATGATTCAATAATGTTCTTCAAGCAGTAATAGTATCTTTTCTCAGACAAGTTTTAAGATTCTTGTCATGACTTAAAATGGTGTTTAATAGACAGAGTGAGTTACCTGAAATATAGTCAGAATCCTCTAAGACAATGTTTGATAAGAACATCTTAAGTACGTTTATTCACACTGAGTCTTGAACCTCATCTGGCAGGGATCAGCATAAGCCTGAACCACAGTGTAGTTATCAGAGAACTAACTCCTAGAAGCCTCGAATTAATGACAGAGGTTGGAAGGAGGCATCCCATACTCTGGGGAAGGAGGGAAGGGTAGAGGAAAGTAGTAGGAAGAAGACGTGAAAGAAAGAAACAGTTCCACTGAGGGAATACTGAGTATTGTCTCTAATTGTTGCAAATTAATATTGCCGGTAGTAAGCTAATAATTGGATAACGTGGACATACAAATGGATTAATACATAGTTTCATTTTCCAGTGTACATCAGCATTCTGTCTACAGCTTGTTGCAGCTTGCCTGGTAAGAGTTTTTATTGTCTTTCAAATGCTTTTCCTAACACAGTTCAAAAAACTTGCATATTCTCACCAAGCGTCATTTTAAAACTTCATGCTTTTTGAAGAAAGAACTTGATAGAAATATAATACAGGAGGACAGTCCTTTGCGTTGTTGCTTCTATTGTGCTGAACTCTGTTCTATGGTTGCTTTATTTTAGGGCAAATATTGGGCTGCTCTAATTGGGTTTATTGGTTAGAATTGTTGCAATCTCACATTTGTTTGCCATTCATATTGGTGGGTTGTTTGTTTTGGGTTTTTTTTTTCCCTTTGTAGAAAGAGGGCCACCTCGCAACCTACAAATGGAATCTTGCAATTTTCAGCACATTTTGTCCTGGCAGGCAAAAAGTGATCCAACTGTGCCAACGTACTATCGTGTGCTGTACACTGACCGCAGGCAAGTCTTATTTTATAAGACACAAGTTTTACTTTTAATGTTTATCAAATCAAAATACGAAGTCTGGGTTTTCTTATTTGTTTGTCTGTTTTTCCACTCAGAAATGCTTTCCCCTCCTCCCTCTCCCCCCAATGCTTTCTTGTATCGAAGAATCCAGATAGATTATTTTGATCTTTTTTAACTTGTTTTGATTTACAGGAACTGGAAGACTGCTAAACAATGTTCAGATATTACACAACTCTCCTGTAACCTGACAGATGATTTTAAAGAGTTATCTACTCAGTATTCTGCATTGGTTCAGAGCTTCATAGGAACTGAAGTATTCAATTCTTCTGTACTTCATTTTGTGCCATTTACTGACAGTAAGTTCTCTCTCTGCATTTTAGTAGTTTTTATTCATAGCTGTTGTATAAATGATACTCTGCTAGCTTTACAGTAAGACACTCCAAACTAACTTGGTCAGTAGCTTATTCCTTTATGTAAGAGAATATGAATTTATATATAATCTATCACATATCAGTTACAAGACATAGAATATTTAGACAGCTTTCTAAAATTAGTGGCTACAGTAGTTCTGATAAATGGATGAGGCTCTGGTTTTGAAATAAAAAATATATATAAATATAGAGGAAGTAGCATTGTGTCAAGCATTGACGAGCACAAACTAAAAATCTCTAAATGCATAAGATACGTAACTTTAAAAAAGAAAAAAACAACATTGTTTTTATGTCTTCAACTAGTTAATGTTAAGAGTTAAAGAAATACCATGTCTGCACTAGGTGTAGGGGAAGAGATTTATTTGTTTGTTCATCAACCTGCTCTTTTCCCTTTCCTTGCTGAAAGAAGATGCTTATTAGCTGTGACATCTTGTAATGCCAGAGGTGGCTTCACCCTTAGTTATGCTTAGTATTCAGTTTTGAAATAACAGAGTCGGAGATTGAGGAACAATTGGAGGACTATGGAGGAGAAACAGGTCATGTTACCTCTGAAACACCACCATGCCCACTAAACCATGTC